CAATGCCATCCTAGCCCGCGCACAGGCATTGCTCTGGGTACGAGATTGCTATTGGCCTTAATATCTTCGAGAATACTCGGCAACATTTTGGACCATTCTTCATACGACAGAGCATCGTAATATGCAAAGAATTCTTTAACGGAGGACACAAACTTGGTGGTTAACGGAAGGATGATTTTTAAATATATTTTCGCATCTTCTCTTGTCTTATCTCGAAGTTCTCTGAACTTAAGGTCAACTTCGGTAGCTGTGCCAACATCTTTGTCGGTATAAAGAGATCGCATTGACAAAGAAAATAATTTTAAAGATGTGGGCATATCTTTCAAACTTTCTTCTAACTGTTCGACGGACCTAACCACGTTTTGGTTTCTCGTTTCGCTGTCTGCCATCTTCTCTGTCAACTGAAAATATATATTATAATATTATAGAAAACAGAATATAAATCAACCATATAATTAAAACACAGAGATAAGTCAATAATTTACATAACACTATACAACACAGTGTTGGCATTTTTACTCGTCATTTATCTTCTTATTCAGGTTAAAAATTTTAATTTCGCTGCTCAAATTCAATCCGTCCGTGTAGGTATAGACTGTGTACGGCTTTTGTCTCGTCAGATAAGCTTGAATGAGAGTTATATACTTTCAGTTATACGTTGTCAGTTATACATTTCAATGACGCAACTGCAATTTAATTTATTTAAAGTGATTTTTTATGATAGCTTGTGTACAGATTATGTTGTACCACAGAAATATAATTATAGACAGTCATAATATAGTCGGACTGCATATATACGGCGTGTAAAAAAGGTGTACAACGTAATTCAGAAGAACTCATAACCGTGGGAGGCGAACAATTACGAGAACCCGAAAAAGTGTATTGCCAATTAACGCAGGTCCCCAAAGGCTGTCTAACCTAAGATTATCAAATAGTGTAAGTTTAAAGTATTTTACTTCCTATATAATGAGCAACAGTTTTACCAAAGCCAAGATAGTTGAGCGCTAATATGACTAACTTTCACTTTGGTTCTAAGAGTCAGCGCGTCATGCCGTTATTATAATCGACATTGTCTTTATATACACACGTCGATAAATAGTTTACCGATTTTGAGTAGTGCTATGAACTATAAGTTTTATTTATATGTTCCGCCATTTTAATAGTTTCGCTTACCGGATTTATTAGCTTTCGGAATTTGGACAAGACTACACCATGCACTTGTACTTGTAGTGAGCTTCGATTTTATAGTTGACTGAGATTCAATTGTCTGTATCGCCGAGGATTTCACAAATGTTTTAAGTTAATTAAATTAGGGGTGGGGTGGGGGGGGGGGCACAATTACTAAAATGCGACATAACGATACTATACATGCAGGGCTATACAGGAACCGGAACCTGGAATTGGAAACGAGAAGAATTTATGCAAAATTTCCTTGCAAGTGCATGTCCATGCTTGTTCGAAATTCAATATGTTTTAATGAGATCGAGGGGTTGGGCTCTGCAAAAAAAACGAAAAAAAGGACATTGCAAAATTATCACGCGTTTCTGACATTTCAGACTTAAACCAAGTGTACAAACATGCCGGGGCTCTATAGTAAGGTTAGATGGCATAAATTATTCATTTTCAATTATACAGCTCATACAGAGAGTTCCAAAATATCCCCCCCCCCCCGATTATGTTTTTCCGCGTGGGTCAGGGTATTACCCGTCTATTTAGTTTTATGAAACGCCGTATCTAGTGAACAGGGTAACGGATAGACCTAAATGGATCTATAGCCATGAGACCAGGGAAAACTGTTTTGAACTGATAAAGTATAGTTCTGATTTCTTCAGTTAAATATTAGCTAAGTTATCTAAAGATCAGAGGTATTGGACGATACTGAACCTCTACAAATCTAAACCTATGTGCTCTATGTAGTACTCACTGGGTCAATAACTGATGTCGGTTTTTTATTGAAAGAGCAGTCCTGTTTAAATAAAGTTACTTAAAGGGTATGGGCAATGAAAATTGCTTCATCTATCTTATTGCTTCGTCTGAAAGAGCATGAAAAAATAAGCCGATTGGCCGTTTAATGCTCTATTCTATCTCATCTAGTTCCGAAGTTATACGCAAAAATG